ATAAAAATGCAAGTCCTAATTAAAAGGTTGGAAGATAAATTTTAGATTCAAAGGCAAAGAAGCTAAAAGCAAAAGGTTGAAAAAAATATAATGTGTATACAATGGCCAGGTGCAGTGTGGCTCAGGCCTGTAGCACTTTGGGAGGCCAAGGCAGGAGGATCGCTTGACATCAGGTGTTTGAGACCAGCCTAAGCTACAGCTAGACCCTGTCTCTATCAAAAATAGAAAAAATTAGCCCAGCATGGCAGTGCATACCTGTAGTCCTGCTACTCGGAAGGCTAAGACAGAAGGATCGCTTGAGCTTAGGAGTTTGAGGTTGCAGTGAGCTATGATGATGCCACTGCACTAGCCCGGGCAACAGAGCGAGACTCTGTCTCCAAAAAAAACCCCAAAAAGTATACAGTAACCCAAGAAGCTGGCCTGGCTACATTAATATCACATAAAATAGACTTTAAGAAATATTAGTAGAGAAACATTTCATAATGACCAAAGGGCCAATATATGAGGGAGATATAACAATAATATATTCAATGACATCATCCGTAAGTGCATAAATCAAAAACTGTCAGTATTAAAAGGAGAAATGAATAATCCAATAGTTATACTTGACGAATTCAATATGCCTCTCTCAGCAAGTGATATAACCACTAGACAGAAAATCAGTAAGGATATATGCTATGGTCTGAATATCTGTGTCCCTCTAAAATTCATATGTTTAAATCCTAATCTCATACCAGGAGGTGGGGCCTTTGGGATGCTCTGCTATCAAGAATGGGATTAGTGCCCTTATAAAAAGAGGCCCAAGAGAACTCCTGTGCTCCTTTTACCATATGAGGTTACAGTGAGAAGACAGCTGTATGAGGAAGCAGACCATCACCAGACACCAAATCTGCTGGTGCTTTGATGTTGGACTGCCCAGCCTCCAAAACAGTGAGAAATAAATTCCTGTTGTTGATAAGCCACCTAATTTATGATATTTTTGTTATGGCAACTTGAACAGTCTAAGACAATACAGAAGACTTGAACAACGCCATCAACCAACTTGATCAAACTTTCGTTTATAGAATACTCCACATGATTAAGAACAAAATACAAATTATTTTCAAGTACACATGGAACATTATCTAGGAGAGATCATGTTAAGCCATAAAACAAGTCTCAATAAATTCGCAAGCTCTGAAATCACTAATTACTTTTGTTTCAACAAACTAGAAAAAGATGAGAAAACCAAACCGAAAGAAAACAGAAAGAAATAATGAAGATCAAAACAGAAATCAATGAAATAGAAAAGAAAAATACAGATAATATTAATAAAACCAAAACTGGTTAGGTATAAGACCAACAAAATTGATAAGCATTTAGCCTGAGTGAGGGGGTTAAAAAGGAGAAGATAAAATTATCAAATTAAAGAACTCACATCATCAGAGACCCTGCAGAATTAAAATGATTATAAGGACACAATAACTTTATGCCAAGAAATGAGACAATTTAGATGAAATGAGTAAATTCCTAGAAACACAAAAATTATTAAAATTGACTCCGAAAGACATAGAAAATCAACATACTTATTACAAGTAAACAAAATTTGAGTTAGTAATTATAAATCTTCCTACAAAGAAAAGACCATACCCATAGAATTTCTCTGGTGAATATCAAATAATTAAGAAATTTCAATCTTAAACTCCTTCAGAAAACATAGGTGGGAGAAACACCTCTCAACTCATTCTATGATGCCAGTATTACTCCGATATCAAAGCCAGACAGAGACAGCATAAAGATAGAAAACTACAGACCAATATCTTTTATTAATATAGATGCAAAAATCCTAACAAAATATTAGCAAACCAATTCAGCAACATATGAAAAAGATTATATATTACCACCAAGTGGGGTTTATCCAATAACACAAGGTTGGTTTAACATCCTATAATCGACTGATGCGATAATCCACAATAAAAGAAAACAGAATGAAAACTACAGGATCATCTCAATAGATGCAGAAAAGGCATCGTAAAACCCAATACACATACAATTTAATGTACAACTCATGATTAAACTCTCAAGAAACTAGGTGTAGGGCAGAATTTCCTCCACCTAATAAACAGCATCTATGAAAAACCTACAGCTAGTATCATAGTTAGTGGTTAAAGATTAAATGCTTTCCCCCTAAGATTGGGAACAAGGCAAACATGTCTGCTTGTACCACTTATACTTAATAATGTACTGGGGATTCAAGCTAGCTCTAAAAGGCAAGAGTGAGAAATCAAAGGTATCGAGATTGGAAAGGAACAAGTCAAACTATCTCTATTCGCAGATATCATCATCTTATATGCAGAAAATCCAAATCTACTAAAATCCAAAAGAACCCCAACCCTACTAAAGTTAATGAGTTTAATTAACAAAGCCATAGAACACAAGATCAATGTATGAAAATCAACTGTATTTCTATATATTACCAAAATTCAACTGGAAATCAAAATTAGAAAATACCATTTACTATAGAATCAAAAAACATGTAATACTTAAGCCTAAATTTAAGAAATATGTTTAAGACCCAAAGACTGGAGATTTTTAAAAACCCTCTGAGAAAAATTAAAGATGATTTAAGTAAATAGAAAGACACAACATGTTTAGACTGAAAGATTCAATTTTGTTAGGACTGTATTCTCCCCAAATTGATCTGTATTATCCTACAAATAAAAGATCATGCCCAGAGGATTTCACTGATGAACTCTAAAATATATTCAAGAGCTCAATGCAATCCTTATCAAAATCCAAGCACACTTTTTTTTTTTTATTTCAGTATTTACTAAAGTTTAAATATAATCACGTAAAAAACAAACATTTCAAAAGTGCAAAATCGTAGAAAGTTAATCAGTGCTACTAATCTTTCCATGCAATCTCTTGCTGAGATAAATAATACTAATTCTGCAGCTAGGAATATGTACCAAATGATGCTGTACCAGAGTTTAAAAACAGGCTTGCTCTAAATATTGCACATGACACAAATGAAGCAGTCAAGCACACTTTTTTATAGAAGTTGATGCTAAAATTTATGTGGGAATGCAAAGTATTTTGAACAGCCTAAACAATATTGGAAAAAGTCTACTAAGCTGGACAGCATGCATGGGTGGGAAACCTGCAACCTCAAGGCCACATGTGGCCTTCTGGGTCCTTAAGTGCAGGCTTTTGGTTGAATCCAAATTTTACAGAACAAATCCTTTTATTAAAAGAGGTGCAGCAAAGAAAGATGAAACTTTTCTTGCTTCTTGTGGTGCTTAAAAAAGAACAATCTTAAAATCAGAAGGCCACAGTTTCCCCACCCCTGCATGGGGTAAGGACAGAGAGATCAAACGAACCGTGTGGAGAGGCCAGACACAAACCCCTTACATTTATCATCCACTGATTTCCAACAAATGGCTAAGGCAGATCAATAGGGAAAAGGGTGGTCCTTTTGACAAACAGTACTGAGACAACTGGATAGCCACATATGCAAAAAGGTGAATTTAGACCCTGACCTACCATAAGCAAATATTGAGTGAAATGGACCACGAAACTAAAGAACCAAAATTATAAATCTTCTAAAAGAAAACAGTTTTGTATAAGGCAAAGTTTTCTTGGATGACACATCAAAAGCATGATTCATAAAATAAAAAAAAATCAATAAACAGAAATACATCAAAATTAAAAACCTTTGCTTTTCAAAAGACACCACAAAAAAACTAACAGCTATGCTACAAACCATGAGAAAATACCACAAATCATACATTTTTGATAAAGGACTTGTATCCAATAAATAAAGAACTTCTATAACTCAGTAAGATAGAAAAGGAAACAAATAGCTCTTAAAAATATATAAAAGGATGCTCAACTCTCAACTCTACCTGTAAAAAGTGAAATGAACATTGAAACCACAATGGGTTACCATTTCTAATCTATCAGATAGGCAAAAATCCACAACTGTGACATCACTCAACTCTACTCACAGATGCTCTGACCCAGTAAAAACCCACTGCTGGTGATCAATCCTGGGGATATATCTGCTTATGTACAGAATGTCAGATGTTACACAATGAATAGTTTATAATGGCCAAAAGGATGGGCAATTAATACAAGTGCCCATCAACATAGGACTAAAAAGAAAAAATAAAACTACAGTATGTCCACATAATGGAATATAACTAGGCTAGTAGAACACAATGAAGAGGTATACTGTATAGACAGATATACTGTCAGGATATACTGCTAAGTGAAAAAGTAAGGTACAGAACAGTATGTACATTAGTATCAGCATTTTTTATAAGAAAGAAAAAAATATTTGTATTGGAATATAATAATTAAATAATACTGATTATTTGGACTAAGAACTGGGGGTACACAGCTTCTGGACAGGCAGGTGGGGGAAGGGGTGGGACAAGAACTCTCAATGTACACCTTCTGATGTCACCCTTATTGTTTGACTCTTATATTTGCATTACCTATTAAAATAAATCAATTAGCCAAGTACTTTGACCTTCACTTGTTCTCCTTTTCATTTTAAAACTGCTTACTGAGCAAGTGTCCTAAAACTCTGAGTCCTTAAGAAAAATAGTGGTCTAATAAGGTAACCTCAACTTTGGTTAACAGAAAAATAGGTATCAGACAGAATAAAAAAGTCCCCTTATAAAAACAAATGTTTTCTGAAATTTTAGCATTCCACTATTTTATTTTTCAAAAAATCCTCTTTGCTTCTATACAGACAAAAAATTCCATGTCACCTAAACATGTGGAGCTACCACTGGAAGTCACAAAATCAAGACTGATGATTAGATTCAATCAAGAGAAACAAGATTAAAATAAGGGTTGCTTATAAGTATGCCATGATCCTCTCTAGTTCTAATCTTCAGAAATTTGTGGAAATATAATAATTTTGTATTCAATAATGCTCATGTTTAGAGAAAAAATACATAGAGATCCTTGGTAAAACAGAAACTTGGTAAAACAAAAGCATAAAATCTCACCTGCTGTGCTGGGTGAGATGGGAGTGGACTGTCCGCCTTACTCCCCTCACCCCGGGGGCTCCTGTTTCCTGGGTCCCCGTCTTCACCTGGGGCACCTGGGGGCTCCCCGCTACTCTCACCGTCTGCGTCTTCATCGTCAGCTTCCGAAGAACTACTACTGGTGCTGCTCACCTGAGGAGACTTTAAAGACAGCCTTCAGTAACTTACACTCTTCAAAACAAAAGAATATAAAGTCTTATATCAGATGACCATTTGATGTCACCTATTGTCACTACTGCCTACCTCCTCTTTTAGGGCCACGCCTCCCCCACTGCTGTGGGACTCGCTGTGGATTCCATTCATGCTGGCCACCACCTCAGCATCATCATAGCTACTCAATGGGTAAATGTCAGCAAATTTAGCTGACAGCGGTGCCATATCCTCATCATCACTGCAACTGAGACAAGCAGAGATGGTCACCATGAGGCTGTGAGACAAGCAAGGATAGCAAACGAACCACCTCTTAAGCACAGATACTTCCTTTACAGATCATTGTCTTATGTCAAGTGTCACTCGTACTACTTAACAGCTCTTAGTAAGCTAAACAAAAGAAAAACAACCGGAAAATGAACATTTGTGGTATTTGGTAGAATGAAAAAAAAACCCTCCACAAGTAGAAATATTAAGGAAACAACAAAAATTTAATCAGAATGATATTACATTTCCATTTGACCCAAAGTTCAATGGTACAAAGCTAGGGCACCCTCTCTGCTACTCCCAAGCAGACAAAATTTTTGATTAAAATTAAAGGGATATAGGCTCATGCCTGTAATCCTAGCATTCTAGGAGGCCGAGGCGGGCGGATTGCTCGAGGTCAGGAGTTCGAAACCAGCCTGAGCAAGAGTGAGATCCCGTCTCTACTAAAAATAGAAAGAAATTCATTGACCAACTAAAAAAAATATATATATCTATATATCTATATATATATCTATATGTAGATATATATATAGACACACACACACACACAAAAACAAAAAACTAGCCAGGCACGATGGCACATGCCTGTAGTCCCAGCTACTTGGGAGGCTGAGGCAGAAGGATTGCTTGAGCCCAGGAGTTTGAGGTTGCTGTGAGCTAGGCTGATGCCATGGCACTCACTCTAGCCTGGGCAACAAAGTGAGACCTTGTCTCACAAAAAAAAAAAAAAAAAAAAAAAAATTAAAGGGGTACAGTGACCTACCTTAGGCCTTCGGTGTTTGCTTTTATAACCACCAAAATATCTGAAATAGCCAGCTGAATAAACCATAAGACACTTATGTGACAAAATATTAAATTTTTTTTGCCACAAGGCCAGTCAGGGTCTGGTCAGTTATGATTTTAAGTAAGTATCAGCTTTTGCAAGACATCTAAGCAATGGGCAAATGGAAAATTTACTTCAAAAGAAAATTTTAACAGATTTCAAGGCTTCCACCTAAATGTATGATTTTCTGGAGCATACAAAGAGCTAACAGGCAGATGCAGTGGCTCACACCTATAATCCCAGCACTTTGGGAAGCTGAGGCAGGCAGTTCACTTTAGGCCAGGAATTTGAGACCAGCTAGGGCAACACAGCAGGACCCCGTCTCTACAAAAAATAATTAGCTGGGTGTAAGTGCATGCTTGTTGTCTCAGCTGTTTGGGAGGCTGAGATAAAAGAATGGCTTCAGCCTGGGAGTTCAAGGCTGCAGTGAGTTGTGATCGCACCACTGCACTCCAGCCTGGGGAGACAGAGTGGCACGGAAAATGAGCTGGCACGGAATTCACAGTTCAGTGAAAATGGTTCAAGGCATAATCGCAGACGGATGTCCCAGAGTTCACAAAAAATATGCTGCTGAGTCCGTCCATCTTCAGTCTGGGTGCACATGATTTTCAGAAAGTAAAAACCCCAGGAACGGGCTATCTCACCACTTTAAAAGGAGTATCCAGAATTACCAAGCTCAAGTGTCTTTTCCATTTTCAAGAAAGCCAGATTCAACGTACAACAAGGTATTACAATCTAGAGCTGATGGGGAGGGAAGCATCACCAGCACCCACCAGGTGAAGGGTGCTCAGGTCTCCTGAGGTCCTATGGCACCCGAGGTAGTCAACACTCACACCCACTCCTGAGGTATTACCATCACCACAATTTGCAGATGTGGAAACTGAGGTCCTAAAACGAAGTAACTATGCTATTTACTTCACCAATACTAGCACTAGTAAGATCCAGAAAGCACTTCAGTATAGTGACTAAAACTGCACTGTTCTTTTTAACCAATTTAGAAAAGGCACCAAGAAAGAGACAACACAAACCAAAGATAACACTGGAAAATTTCAAATCACTGCACTTTATATTTGGAAGACATTAATCACAAGTTCTTGAAGGCCCACATGCCTGGAAAGCCTGGGCTCCCCCGATCAGCCGTAAACAGTCCTCATCCAGGGAGAAAGGTTCCCACAGGCAAGTCCTTCTATCACTTAATGTGACACAAGAGCCCATAACTGACATCAGCATCTAAGACAAATGAACAAGAATGAAATTTTCCAACTTAAGTTTTTATTAGATTATACATGTTTAATTTCTATATGTTTCTGTAAGAAGTTGGGTAAGAACAAGCTGCAAAACCCCCTTAACACTCTTTCTCAGGCCGTCGAGAACACAGGGTTTCTAAGGCTATAAAGTAGCCTGCAGTCTTTGAAGGACAGTCATGGAGTTTAGACCAGCCCCTTTAGAATTATTTTGCGTTTGAGAAAGAACCCAAATTGAGAACTTCAGAAGACTCTGAAGGAAAATGTCAGAGTTACTGAGATAAATCGAGAGGGAAAGAATGAACACATGTCAGTCAGTTAGAGAAATCTGAGAAACACTGAGTAGCCAAGATTGAGGCAACAGTCCCATCCACTGGGTACCTCCATAAGACACACGATACCTGCATGCTCTATGACACATGTAACATTAACCTAAGTTTACTTAACTACATACATCCATGTGCAAACCCTTCCAGAAGTAAGCATGTAAAGCCTCCATAAATAAGACAGTCACAACTGAAGAAAATGGGATGAGCCACCTACCACATGAATTGGTGACAGCTGTACAGCCACCTTCTAATATGAAATGTATTTCTAACCATGCAAGAATATGGAAAACAGAGACTTCCAACTGCCTACTAAAGTGATTATGTGAGTTCTTAGCAAGACATGGAACAAGCATGAACACTAAGCTGAGAGAGAGGCAGGACAGACAGCAGGCTGGCCACACTCTAAGCAAATGATGAGATGTCAGGCCAGAATTAGACAATTCCCTGCATACCAACATGTTTTTTATTTACTGGCATTTTATATATGTATATATATTTGAGACAAGGTCTCGCTCTGTCACTCAGGTGGGAGTGCAATGGTATGAGCATAGTTCACTGTAGCTTCGAACTCCCAAGCTCAAGCCATCCTTCCGCCTCAGCCTCTGGAACAGCTGGGGGCTGTTAGGGTGCATGCCACTATGCCTGGCTAATTTTTCGTTGAGATGGGGTCTCACTATGTTGCCCAGGCTGGTCTCGAACTCCTGGCCTCAAGCGATCCTCTTGCTTCAGCCTCCCAAAGTGCTGGGATTACATGTGGGAGCCACTGTGCCCAGCCAGGCATTTAATAATGTACCATATTTTTTTTCAAGTAATGAAATAATGTTAAAGTTTGGGTTTACTGATTTCATGTTTTAAAAGTCACTTAAAAATACTAACGGTCCTTTTTCATAAAAAAAAGCACAATGCTGATGTTCATAAATTCTGTAGATATTATTGTCTATGTCTTATTATTGCATTACTTAAATTTCTGAAACTTTATTACAAAGTCACAACTTACAAAGCTGGTGCAGAGCCACTGTCTGTGCGGATGAGCCTGGGGTGTTGCTGAACCGTGATGGGTGAGCTAGAGCCTGACCCTGAGCTTGCTGAAGATACACTCGGTGGGCGCATCTCCGGGAGGTAGTCAGGAGCAGAGTCCACCTGGAGTGGGAGCTGGTGAATGTGGACATCATCAGTGACAGGTGGATCCATGATACCGCAAGTGAGGATGTGTGAGAGGCTGCAGTCATCGCAAGCACACCTGATCAGGAATTAAGGATAGTTACCAAGACAGCTAACAGAGCAGGTCAGTTCTGGACCTCCACTTGGTTCAGCAAAGGGCCCACAGGTCTACAGCACCCACACCACACTCAAGGCTCACCTTCTCCTGTAGTTGCAGTTGGGGCAGTCAGGCATGCTCAGCCGGGATGACAACATGTGCCTCATGGTATCCGTAAAGTTGTTCTCACCAGTCACTGCTTTTTTATTAGTTAACTACAGGAAAATTATAAAACAATGGTTTAATTTTGCAAAATACTTCCCCATTGTATGGTTCATATTTTTCAGTAATTATGGTAATATGTATTATGCTCATTGAGAAACAAGTGGGCATGGCTTCCTCAAGTAGAACAGCACCTGGAACCAGGGACAGCAGACCTGGAATCTGCAGCAGCCAGGGGCTGTGCCATGCAAGGGCTCAGGTACCAGGAGCCCCCAAATGCTTGTCTTTGGCAAATACACTGTAACGCACCTTCCCAGCAGACACCTGGAAGGCAGGGCTACCGCAGACACCCAGGCTTCACCCTCTGCCATGTGCTTGGTACTTGCTAAGCACCAGGAACGGAGCTATAGAAATGGAGGCTAGCACATGGGGGGAGAAAGGGTGTACCTGGCAGCTATCAGGGAAATGACAACTAAACTTCCAGCCAACTAGGTGAGCATGTGGATTTCAAAGAGAAGGACCAACTCTGAACCAACTTAGGCAATGGGACGTGGCAGCAGGAGGGGCCACTCAACAGGACACATCCAGAACTGGGGCAGGCGAGTGAGCTAAACATGGGCACCACCAGTATATCTGTGGTGCCTGGAGGAGACCATAGGAGTACAAAAGTGAAGACAGATGCCGGGCCAAGGCAAGGGCACCACACACACTTAATAAAAGGGCGAGGGAGCAGAGTTTGCAAAGGAGACTGAGAAAACGTCAGAGAAGCAGGAAGAGAGTCATTGCAGCAGGTAGACAGGCAATCAAGGGGAGCAAGTTTCTAAATGAAGCCGAGTGCCCTGAGACCAGCCATGGGGAAGGTCACCAGCAGAGGGTGGGCAGGGCAGGCTTGCTTGGAGGAGGCACTGCCAGGAAGAGGAAGATGGGGGCGGATCTGCCAGCAGCCACACTGAAGACAGGGCACCAACACTCTCTGAAGGTCTAAGTGCTCTGTCTGGGGAAGTTGGGGCCCAATCTCAGCTCTGTGACACAAAGCATCATCCTTAACCTCACCATGTGACTCTTCTCAAGTGTAACCTGGATATAATACCACCTGCCTCGTAGGGGATCATGGGAACTCAGGGCAATCTCGTCTGTTCAATACCTGGGGCCACTGTGGTCTAGAAAGGTCATGCAACAAGCATGCTTCTTCCTTGAGGAGTACGTGGAAGACAAGTAAAGAAAATTAGTTCATCCTGAGGTTAAAAGAGTGTCTTGACCAGTGTTTTAACACTGGCAGATATGGCATGCGGTCCTCACATGTTCTAACAGAGCATGTTAATGTCTGAAGGAGTCATCTACTCTGCAACAAAGGATTTCTCTTTCCTTTAATTGTTCCCTTTAATGACATGCTTACCTGCTCTTCAATGAATCTTCTTTGTTTAAAAAGCTCCCAGTCTTCTGTTAACATGCGCTGTTTGGTTTTCATTGTCATCTAGTAAGAAGATACAAAAAAACGAAAACAAAAAACCTAGTACCAGCAACAACTACACAAGATATTTTCAAGGGGATATTTTCAAAAATAGGGTATGAGAAACATTATCATTTGCAAACAAAGGATACAACACTATACATATATTGCCAGGTATTCTATTTCACCATTTTATTCAAAATCATCTCAAGTACTTTTCTTTCCTTTTTTTTTAGAGACAGGGTCTCGTTCTGTTGCACAGGGTGTAGCAGTGTCATCACAGCTCACTGTAGCCACCAACTCGGGCACTGAAATGATTCTCCTGCCTCAGCCTCCTGAGTAGCTGGAACTAAAGGTGTCTGCCACCACACTAGGCTAATTTTTAAATTATTTTTTTGTAGAGACAGGATCTTGGTACGTTGCCCAGGCTAGTTCCAAACTTTTGGTCTCAATTTGCTAGGATTACAGCCTCTCAAATTGCTAGGATTACACACATGAGCTACTGTACCCAGCCTATTTGGAAATTTTTAAAAAATAGTTTAAACTATCAGAGAAGAAATCAAAGTTAAATGACAGTCTGTTTAGAAATAACTGACAATAAAAGCCCCACACATCAAATTTTGTAAGATGCACGCAACAAGTATAATAGAAGAAAAGACTGAAAGTATTCAACTTAAGAAGCTAAACAAAACTAATAAAACAGAAAGGAATTAAAGGTAAAAGGAGAAATCACTGAGGAAACAGAGCTGCTGCAAATGTGATCAATAAAACCAAAAGTTGGTTCTCCAAACTTCTTCCAGGGCTGAATAGGAGAAAAAGGGAAAAACAAAACAAAAAACCCATCGAGAATGAGAAAGGACACATACATACAAAACATTCTTTTAAACCACAAGAGAAAATATCTGTAGGGATTTATACTTTTTAAAATCTAAAGAAGAACTGCAAACAAGTGGCAGCCCATGAGGTATTTTGTTGAACCTGCTCAATGCTTTTTAAAAGTTGAATTGATATTTAGAAATTTTTGAGATTTCACATCTGGCTTCTCTTGACAAATTAGCAGTTCTGGTGGACCTGTGAGGAGACAGATGGAACCAAGCAGGGCCCACCCTTAATGGACAACATGTGAGTGCGTAGCCCTTCACCTTCCCAACCACCGCCCACTCCATCAGGGCCTCCCTACCACTGAGGGCAGGGGGATCCTTTGGAATGTGGAGGAAGTGCTCTCTCTCCCTGAACAAAGGTGTGTCTAAGTGAGAGTGAGTGACAGCCCATGAGTAGCATGGGAACTCCTGGAGCTGCCAAGTCACCCATGAGTTTATGACACTATATGTAAATGATATGGGTAAGTTCCTAAGCAAAAATCAATTTGTAAAAGTGACTCAAGAAGTAGAAGAAAACCTGAAACAGACTAATAAATGTAATATCAAGTGAAAAGGTAGTAGAAGATCTATACTCTGTTCTTCCTCTCTATAAAACTCAATCATATCCCAAAGTTTTATGGTAGGTTGTAGCAAATCCTTCATAAAACAGAAAATTTAAATTATTCCTTGCCTGGTGCAGTGGCTCACTCCATAATCTCAACAGTTTGGGAGGCTAAGACAGGAGGATTGCTTAGGCCCAGGAGTTTTGAGACTCGCCTGGGCAACACAGTGAGATCCTGTCTCTCAAAAAAAAAAACAAAAAAACCCACACAGTTAGGGTGGTAGTGCACACCTGTAGTCTCAGCTACTCAGGAGGCTGAGGCGGGAGGGCCATTTGAGCCCAGGAATTCAAAGTTACAGTGAGCTATCTTCATACCACTGATGGGTGATGGAGTTAAGACCTTGTTTCCAAAAAACTTTTAAAAATAAAATCAATTTTAAAGAACCAACTCTTCCTGATAAATGAAAAAACATAGAAAGTTTCTCAATTCATTCTATGAAGCTAGCATAACCTTTACACAAAACAGACAAGATCTCAAAGCCCAAAATTCAATTATACCTCATAATATAAATATAGAAGTCCTAAATAAAATATCAGCTAATTAAATTGAGCAATGGGGATTAGAGATCGCAATCTAGTAGGGTTCAATCCAAGGAACGTAAGACTGTCTCAAGATTAGGAAACCAAATCTCTCAATTCATATAGAAATAGATAAAAATCATACAACCAAATCTGACATCCACTGTGTTGTTTAAAAAAATGATAACCTAAATAAACTAGAGATAAAAGTAATTTGTTAAAAAGTGTCAGAAGTTTGTATGAGAAGCATCAAAGTTCATGGTGGAACATCTAAAACATCCCCTTTAAGCTGGGAACAGACAAGGTATCACTACCAGCATCTCTTATTCATGTTGGTCTGAAGGTTCTAGTGGAAGCCACAAAAAGTTCAAATGCTGGAAAGGATGAGACAAAACAATCATCTTTTGTAGATGATACCATGATCTAGAAAACTCAAGACAATCAACTCACAAGCTATTAAGGTTAACAAGGGAGGTTGGTGACATGACTGGGCACAGGGTAATGTTGCTTTCCTACTTCCCAGTATGAACTCTTTAGAAAATTTATTCCTTCATTAAACAGGTCTCTAAAATTGTAAAATACTGAGGCATAAAATGGGTAAGAAATGTATACTATAAAACCATATGCAAGGCCGTGTTCGGTGGCTCATGTCTATAATCCTAGCACTCTGAGAGGCTGAGGCAGGTGGATCATTTGAGCTCAGGAGTTCGAAACCAGCCTGAGCAAGAGCAAGACCTTGTCTCTACTAAAAATAGAAAATTACTTGGACAGCTAAAATCATATAAAGAAAAAATTTGCCAGGCATGGTGGCACATGCCTGTAGCCCCAGATACTTGGGAGGCTGAGGCAGAAGGATTCCTTGAGCTCAGGAGGTTTGAGGTTGCTGTGAGCTAGCCTGATGCCACGGCACGCTAGCCTGAGCAACAAAGTTGAGACTCTGTCTTAAATCAATCAATCAATCAATCAATCATATGCAAGATTTAAAAAACAACCAAAGAGACACATACCATATTCTTGAATAGGAAGACTCAATATTGGTGCCAGTTCTCCCATATCATTGTATATGTCTGCAGTGTTGGGGAAAATATTTTTTCAAGTAGCTATTACTATTGAATGTTTAATAAAAGAATTTTATTTTATTTATTTGTTTTCTTGAGACAGAGTCTCACTTTGTTGCCCAGGCTAAAGTGAGTGCCGTGGCATCAGCCTAGCTCACAGCAATTTCAAACTCCTGGGCTCAAGTGATCCTCCTGCCTCAGTCTCCCGAGTAGCTGGGACTACAGGCATGCACCACCATGCCCATCTAATTTTTTCTATATTTTTAGTTGGCCAATTAATTTCTTTCTATTTTTAGTAGAGACGGGGTCTTGCTACTGCTCAGGCTGGTTTCGGACTCCTGACCTTGAGCGATCCGCCTGCTGTAGCCTCACAGAGTGCTAGGATTACAGGTGTGAGCCACCACGCCAGGCCATAAAACAATTTTAAATGAGCTAAAAATCAGGAAAGGTAGTTGTATTTTTTTATCTTAGTACAGAGGCTCAAAAGAATAGTTTGATAAATAATGACATCAACCAAAACCTCTTCTTTGACCCTCTCTTCATATCCTCTGGGTAAATTATTTCTTTGGAACAAATTTGGGTACCTGCAGGCTTGTATGTTGTATCAAACGACAAAGAAAGGACGAATTTTTAAAAATAAACAAAAAATAACTGATTTCAAAGCTGTCAGTTCTCTCTTCACATCCATATTTATGAATAGAGAGACTCAATTATTTGACAAGTGTTCGACATTTGGAAACCTTTGAATTAGCATAAAATTTCTAAAATGCTTCTTGATTAGAAGCAACTGATCTCCATTCAAAGGGTTTCACATTAAATGGCATACCAAAATGGTTCCAGAGGAGACTGGGATGATATGGCCATAGCCAAGGAAGGCCAAGAGCCACCCGAAGCTGGGAGCGATAGGGAGAGTCCTCCCCCAGAGCCTTCAGGGAGCATCGTCCTGCCCACACCCTGATTCTGGACTTTCGGCCTCCAGAACTGTGAGAGAGTAAATTTCTGTTGTTTCAAACCACATCCATATGCACACATGCTTCCAGAATGACTATTACTCTCTGGATGTTATTGAAGTGACTCGATTTCCCAAATTTGTATTAACGACATCTTGGTTTCTCATGGTTTCTTGACAGGAGAGTGAAAATAAGAATGCATCTTCTAGTTGCTTTAGTGAATAGCCTTTTTTTCCTTTGTAAAATTATGTAACATGCAATTTTATTTTTACTATTTTTTTTTTTTTAATAGAGATGGGGTCTCACTGCTCAGGCTGGTGTTGAACCCGAGCTACAGTGATCATCCCACCTTGGCCTCTCAGAAAGCTAGGATTACAGGCATGAGCCACTGCACCAAGCCATGATATGCAATTTTAAAGAAATTCTCATTTCAGCTTTACTTTTTAAGTGGGACGGTATTTTCTCCCTAGAGAAAACACGCATTTTTACACACATCCCATTTTCATCAGAACAGCAGTAATACTATATATTATATTCCTAAATGAATGTTTAAATCCAGGCAACAGATACATACAAAATTACTATTCCCAAAGGATTCTTTAGTCTTAGCAAAGCAACTTCTTCTTTTCCTAAAAGCATTTCCTGGGCATTTTTGTGTTTAGTCATGGTTCAATTGGAGAAATGAAGAAAGAATGAAACTAGAATTTTGTCTACAACATCCACCACGTGTATAAAAAAGGATAACACCACAGGCTCCCCAGAGGAAGGATCTCCCCAGGTCAGATCTCTGACCTGAACCCCAATGGGCATGTCTGGCTATGGCCCTGGAGGGCCTCTTGTCATTTCCAGACCTGGTGACACCATCATTCCCCAGAACTCCAGGGAGCAGCAATGTGGCTTATCCACAGGTGCTTGGCACAGTGTTCAGTAAAAGGTCATCTGCCTTCTCTTTTCTTCACCTATCACTTTGATTACACCATTTTCCTGAGATCACTGAAATGTCACAAGTGATTCACAGTCTCAGAAGCTTACATTCATGCAACACAAGGAAAAGTCAGGGATAAGTCAGGATGCCCATTTCTAGTGAGTAGCATTGATCCCTTCAGAAGGAAGTGTCAAATTCAGGAAGAGAAAGAGGTGAAGTCCTGTTCAGAGAAGCTTCCAGACTCCAGGCTCTCCAGGCCCTCATCTGTTCAACACCAGGAACAGAACTGCTTACACACTCGGGCACCCAGGTGTGGCATTCCAGGTTGGTTTGCACACAGGCTCACAGACACTATCTCCCTAGCACGGTGCTCTGCAAACCACTGACAACTCAATGCTGGGCAGAGGCCACCAGCCCCACTGTCAAGGACAGATGTGTCCCTGGAATGAAATCCGAGATGCGGGGGACCTCATCGTCATTAGTCTAACCACATGTCAAACTCCTCTGCCAACTCTCCCCTGCAATTCTCTGTCACAGGGAACTGGCCTCCACACCGCACAGCCCATCCACCCTCAGAAAAGCTCTGACGGGCTTTCTTCTCAATAGTGCACAGAGCTGAAATACCTTCTCATGCCTCCCACATGGGGTCCAGACTCCACTTCTAAGGGACTGGGTAGCTAGGACAACCTGAATGTCTCCTTTGCAGGCTGCTTAGACACGCTGCCCCAATTCCCTTTTATTCCCCTGCCTGGCAAGTGCCTGGCAGAGCTGCTCTTAGGACAGACAGCTTGGCCACTACTGTCCTGATTCTAGGGCCTTCCACATGCTCTGCCCCTTGGCTTCAGCCTGTCATGCCCACCCAGGCTCTAAGTCTACCCTCCAGGGGATTCACCAAAGCTCAGCTTCTCTATTTGCAAATTCATTACTGTTACAGATACTAATAGGACTGTGGAGGGCCCGAGACATTCTTTGGTCCACAGCAAAACCATTTGCTGCCACCTGGGTGTGTTGTTGGCAGCTGTCCACATTCACTCTGAAGGTTTTCAGGGCACTACACATGGCTTGAAGGAGTCTCCAGTGGTCCTATCAACAGTGTCTCCCTCCTCTCCCATTAGTAACCATGTTGGAGACGAGCTGAAGGCAATGTAGGTGACCCTTGGTGAAGACAGGTGGAGTCCTCCGTGGACTTATCATCAGTTCACTGGGGATTTCCTATGACCTAACACAACATGATTTTCCTACAGCAGCAGCTGGCGGGACAAACTCAGCAGGTATCATTACCTCGAGTACAGAGATGCTCACAGGTTCAGGACCCTGTCACACACATCTCACAAGCAGCCTCTTTGGCAGTCTCGAAACTCCTGCCCTTGCACTGGTCCATGCCCGGGCTCAGCAGCCTGGTGCTCTTGTCTCTGCTCTCAGCCAGGGCAGCTCTTGCTGTTCACAGCACACTCTCCTGGCAAGGCCAGAGCACCTCACCATCTTCCTTCCACCACTTGGCTGAGCCCCTGTGACAAGAGTCAGCCAGGTAGAGAAGTTGGCAGCTAGTCTTTAATCTGTTCTTCTTGAGGCCTTCCATGAACAGAGATGGATGACTTGAGGTCTCACCACTCCTCCATCACCTCGGTCCTCTCAGTCAACACTGGTGAGGCCACCACCAGGTGTGCTCTGTAGGCTGCCTGCTAACCAGCATACCACAGGGCAACTCACCACACAAGGAACTGTTCACTGTCACTCTGGTTTTTAAAAACAACACACAAGAAATTTGGAATTACAGGATACAAAAGCTCATATAAAACTAAATGTCATCTAACGTGAATCTCATTTTGTAGGTCGGAGACTAAGGCCCAGGGAGGAAGAGACTTGGGTAGGGCTTGTGGGGCAAATCTGGGACTGCAGCCTGGATTGGACCACCATGCAGGGTGCTCCAAGAGACCCAAGTCAAGAACCTCCTCAGGGACCAGCAACTTCAACATACCACTCGGCCCTGTATGGTCACTGCCCCTGAAGCCACCCACTTCCCAGAATGAGCTGATCTCCACCACCCACTTTCCACAGCTGATCCCCACCACCCAGCAGACTCCATGACCAGAACAGCAAATTCTTGAAAACAGGCTGGTGTACGTGCAGGCAGCAGAGAGAAGGGCAGCCTTCTACACCTCTCTGCTGTGTTGCCCCCACATGACTTGGACCTGGCCAGATGTGCTACTGTAGAGCTGGAGGCTCTACCCTAGCCCTCCAGCTCTCTGGACCAAGAGAAGCCTCCAGAAGAGCTTTGTGGCTGCCAGACCCTGCTCCCACAGTGGCCTAAGACAAGGAGTCACTGACAGTGACAAACCACGGCTGGAAAACAAGCCCCTGGTTGCAAAAACAGACAAAAACATCAATTAGGGATGCACCAACTATGAAGAAAACACAACTGCTCTCCCCAACCCATCAGGGGCCACAGGAAGCAGAAGAGTGTTGAAGAAGTCGAATGACCCCGAGGCCTCTGCCTCACCTTGACACGCTATACACACAGTGGCCAAGGAAGAGGCCAAGAGCAGGGAGCCGGCAGAATCCTGTGCGAGTCTCAGGGCCACCTGGCCTAAGACAAACTCAACAGCACCGAATTCCACAACTGGCAACACTGGAACTTATTCCACTGAAGCCAAGGAAATTTAAAGGCAGCACAACACAGAAGAACACAGTAAGACAAATTCTACCCAATTCTGAACAAGAGACCATCTACAGCTACAGTCCCTGTGGCTGCACTAGAGAAGTGCCACAGAAAACATAGCCTGAGACTGAAGTCAGTGAACTGGTTCACAGAAGTAGCGAGCACACCCCACCCCGCCCTACCTTCTCCTCATCTCTCCCAGCACTAACAAGGAGCACTAACAAATGCTGCAGCAGCGTCCACATGGCACCAACCACACCAGGGCAGACCTGAGGCCAGCATACATCTTAAGCCAAAGCCCAGGTTCTGTTTCCCTACAAATAGTCTCAAAAATATAACACAGAACTCTTGTAATCTCTCCTTTATTACTCCACATATCACTGTTACCTTTAAAGGAAGGCTGCTCTAAGTGGCATCCTTGCCTGATCCTACCAGAGGTGCTAGAAAAGCAGGCATGCCATGGGTGGGCAGCAGAGGTGCTGTCTCCAACACCTGCTCTGAGAGGCTTCAGCTGCTCCGTGCACCTTTCCTTTAGGCCTATTTCCAATAGGCACACCCTTCGGCCTGTTCCCTCCACCTTGTAAAGCCACCTGCCACCTTGTGCTTTATAGACAGTTTGGGACAGACAGAGAATCGGCTCTGAACAGCGGAGTGCTCAGTAAATGGTTCCTGGAATTACAAGATGCCCACATGTGGACACAGAGCCTAGGTAGCAGCCTGTGCAAGTGACAGTGGGTGCACACAGGCCAACGTAGACCTGACCACCTGTTGCCACCACACCCTAAGCACAACGGAGCCAGAACTTTCTGTGGTGCCACACAGGTTTCCCATTACCTTTTGGAAAGCCAGCAGCTGACACACAGAATCTACGCAAGTATGCCAGGGCCTATGCCAGGAACTCCATGCTCGTCCCCAAGGACACCACTAGCACCTTGGCAAATTGCCTTCCCAGTGGAAGGTCATGAGGGTACGTGCGTTGTGCAGGCAGCCTCCTGGTGGGGTGCTCACCTGCTCATCCACATAGGCATCGATCCTCTTCTGGCACTCCAGCCACTCCTCGGCGACTTTGTGTAGCTCTTCTTCAGAGCGCTGGTACCTCTGCAATAAGGTGCTATACGTGTCCTCATTGCAGGTGTCATGCGTGGTAGTTCCTAGCCTAGGAGAGAGAAGGCCTTGTAACAAAATAAAGCACCCAAAGGCTCTGAACCAGAAAAGTGCTTCCTGTTGCTATTGTTGTGTTTTGTCATCTTATGTCTCAATGTAAAAAGTGGGGACACTACTACCTTGCAGCCGATACTGTGAGAGATTATCAGATCACATGTGCAAGGCACTCAGAACAGATTCTGGTGTAAAGGAGACACTCAAAGAAGTAACAGATCCTAATGAAAAAAAATCAGTGGTAAATAACATTGTTCTCTGCTAAAAAGACTATGGCCTAGCAATTCTATTTACTAAATGTGGGTTTGGACAGTATTTTACCCTGTTGAAATACACTGACCCAGAAGAAAAAAAATCAGAAATAAAATTTATACTTGGTTTTCAAATAACGTAAACCAGAAAATTTGCTTTACCTGAAGAAATACAATATCATGTATTCTGAATTATATTTTCTTTCCCTGGGTGAAAATGGGCAGGAATGGCTACCTCTCCTCCTGTCACCTGTCTCCATCCTCAAATGAATCCCACTTGTGAACATGTGTGGAAGGGGGAACTTGCAAACACCCCATGGTTACTGAAGCTACTCACACACTGTTCATCATGTCAGAGAAGCAATGTATAACTGAGCAGTGGTTTAGGAAAGTCCAGAGAAAAGGAAGAAATGATACTGATGCAAACACTGATTGTGATTGAGGCCATTGCAAACATCATGGTTGTTCTTCTAAGGCAGTTTCTGCCTCTTGGGAAACAAAACTCAAGACACAGATTCCAGGGATACTATGTGTCAGATTCTAGGCCCTGAAAACAGCCTTGCATCTTCTTTTTTTTTTTGAGACAGAGACTCACTCTGTTGCCCAGGCTAGAGTGCTGTGGTGTCAGCCTAGCTCACAGCAACCTCCAACTCCTGGGCTCAAGCAATCCTACTATCTCAGCCTCCCAAGTAGGTGGGACTACAGGCATGTACCACCATGCCTGGCTAATTTTTTCTCTATATATTTTTAGCTAGCCGATTAATGTATTTCTATTTTTAGTGCAGACAGGGTCTTGCTCTTCAGGCTGGTTTCGAACTCCTGACCTTGAGTGATCCTCCCGCCTCTACCTCCCAGAGTGCTAGGATTACAGGCGTGAGCCACTGTGTCCGGCCTCAGCCTTGCATCTTGCCATGCCACAACTCATGACATGGCTTTTAGTCCCCCTTCTGCTTCTGTCAGCCTTGTTCTTCACGTGACTGATTTCCATTCTTCATGCAAAACCCAATTTCTATGTCATTCCATCCTGCCCCTCCAGGACTACCTGGAAAGCAGGGATGCTAAGAGATACCAGTGATATACTACATCATGTGTTCCTTGTCCCATTCCTCCCAGAAGTAAGAACTTCTCTCTTCCAAGTTATATAAGATAGATTATTTTGAGCCAAGAAAGAACAAAGCAATCAGAAGGGAGGAGGTCCTGGAGGTATCTTTGGTGGTGTACCTGGAGTGCAATCTTCAGGCACAAGCCTTACATTCAAGCAAAGTCTTGCTGTAATTAGAGTTGCAGGAAATATCCACAGGGTTGAAGGAAATCAATGGTCCAGTGAATAGGTTTTTATCTCAATATTCAGCTTCAAATACGAGACAGTGCCATGGAAATATACCCACTGTAATGTTACCAATAATGTGTATGTGATACATTATTATCATTGATAAAAAGAATGAAATAACATCAGTTTGAATAAGTTTGTTTCTAAGCCTAATTAATATATATTTAAAATGAAGACCAATAGCTACTAACATCTGTGATGACAGGGAGGCACACATGATAAGCCCCCTGATATAAACAAACCACAGAGACCTGAGCAGAATCTACAGGAGCCTCCAGATCCTACCACCAATTCTCAGGCAGGACAGGACCTCAGACCTGCCAGGCTACTCCATGAACATACTCACGTAAGATCCAGACCATGCACCTCCAAGACAAAATTGCCCAGTTCTTTAACAGATAAAGTGTAAGACAAAAGGGACCTGTGTGGAGGGCAAGCTGCTGATAAAGACTCTTAAAAGATTTGGGAAAAAAAAAAAAGAGGGCTGAATGGAGAGTTATTGCTTAGTGGTTACAGAGTTTCTGTCTGGGGTGATGAAAAAGTTTTGGGAATACATAGTGGTAATGGTCGTAAACACCGTGAATGTGGACCAAGCAGGGTGGCTCATGCCCATAACCCCAGAACTTTGGGAGGCTGAAGTAAGAGAACTACTTGAAGCCAGGAGTTCGAGACTAGCCTGAGCAACATAGTGAGACCCCATCTCTACAAAAAATAGAAAAATTAGCTGGGTGTGGTGCTGTGCACCTGTAGTTCCAGCTAGTCAGGAGGCTGAGGCAGGAGGATTGCTTGAGCCCAGGAATTTGAGGTTGCAGTGAGCTATGATGATGCCACTGCACTCTAGACTAGGTAACAGTGAGACCCGTCTCTAAAAAAAAAAAGGTTAAATGAATACCAGAGACAAAGTGTTAATACTAAAATTCTTGAAGGCCTGTAATCCTAGCTCTCTGGGAGGCCGAGGCAGGCGGATCATTTGAGTTCAGGAGTTTGAAACCAACCTGAGCAAGAGTGAGACCCCGTCTCTACTATAAACAGAAAGAAATTAATTGGCTAGGCCGGGCGCTGTGGCTCACGCCTGTAATCCTAGCTCTTGGGAGGCCGAGGCGGGCGGATTGCTCAAGGTCAGGAGTTCAAAACCAGCCTGAGCAAGAGCGAGACCCCGTCTCTACTACAAATAGAAAGAAATTAATTGGCCAACTAATATATATAGAAAAAATTAGCCGGGCATGGTGGCGCATGCCTGTAGTCCCAGCTATTCGGGAGGCTGAGGCAGCAGGATGGCTTGAGCCCAGGAGTTTGAGGTTGCTGTGAGTTAGGCTGATGCCATGGCATTCACTCTAGCCTGGGCAACAAAGTGAGACTCTGTCTCAAAAAAATTATTGGGTCTGAAGAGTGAGGAGTGAGTATGCTGTGGAAACACAAAGGGACTGGTTTTTCTGCTGACTCCAGTGCTGTTTGGGGAACGTGACACTTGCTTTCCTCTGTTCTATCTCTATCTGCATTTATCCCTCTTCTTCATATGACCCTGAGACTTGAAAGTGTTACTGCAGCTTGAACCTAAGAATTAACATTGGAGACTCTAAGACACTGCTGATTTTGGAATCTGACCATTATATGCAATAAACAAATAAAAACCCAGAACTAAGGCACAAGAAAAAATGGAGTTTGATGACATTTCTGTCACCCACCCTTAATTTGACAGGCCTATCAAACTAACAGGATCACCAATGAAAGAAAAACAAGGACAGACAAACTGAATTCTTGCTTTAAGAATCCCTTTCTCAGCTGGGAGCAGTGGCTGACGCCTGTAACCTAACACTCTGGGAGGCAGAGGTGGGTGGATCGCTCAAGGTCAGGAGTTCGAAACCAACCTAAGCAAGAGTGAGACCTCATCTCTACTAAAAATAAAAAGAGGCTGGCAAGGTGGCCCACGCCTGTAATCCTAGCACTCTGGAAGGCCGAGGTGGACGGATTGCTCGAGGTCAGGAGTTCGAAACCAGCCTGAACAAGAGCGAGACCCTGTCTTTACTATAAATAGAAAGAAATTAATTGGCCAACTAAAAATACATAGAAAAAATTAGCCAGGCATGGTGGCACATACCTGTAGTCCCATCTACTTTGGAGGCTTAGACAGTAGGACTGCTTGAGCCCAGGAGTTGGAGGTTACTGTGAGGTAGGCTGACACCATGGCACTCTAGCCAGGGCAACAGAGTAAGACTCTGCCTCAAAAAAAAAAAAAAAAAAAAAAGAATCCCTTTCTCAAAGTGCATGTCTTCTTATAAAAAGTGCTTTTGGTGGATTTGAACTACATAACTACAGACAAAAAACGCACTCTGCATTTCAAGCTCATGACTCTGAAAGCTCTTCTGACTCTCTTTTTTATTTTTTTTGAGACAGAGTCTTGCTTTGTTGTCCAGGCTAGAGTGAGTGCCGTGGCGTCAGCCTACCTCACAGCAACCTCAGACTCCTGGGCTTAAGCAATCCTCCTGCCTCAGCCTCCCAAGTGGCTGGGACTACAGACATGTGCCACCATGCCTGGCTAATTTTTTCTATATATATTAGTTGGCCAATTAATTTCTTTCTGTTTATAGTAGAGATGGTGTCTCGCTATTGCTCATGCTGGTTTTCAATTCAAGCAATTCAAGCAATCCGCCCGCCTCAGCCTCCCAGAGTGCTAGGATTACAGGCATGAGCCACCGCTCCCGGCCCTGACTCTTTTTCTTCTATGAGGTTTGTTGTTAAGACATTCAAATCTGTTGCACCCATGGTGAAATGTAAAGCATGCTTTTAAAACAGTGGACTGAAAAGGGAAAGAATGGCTGGGAAGAAGGCTGTGGCAGAGAGAGCGCAGTAAAGATCAGGCGCCAACTGTGAGCCTGAGCCAGCACCACCCCAGTGAGCAGGCCATACTCCTGTAACACCTTGTTCTGATCTCTTTATCCTTAATTCCCTTTTACCTAACCATTTCTGAGGTTATTCTTTCCCTAGAGGAGAGGTTATAAAATGGCGGTTGTCAGGAGTCCTCAAATAGAATTTGAGAATATAGGAAACAAAGACTGGGTCAATACATGGATATCAAGAGAAAAAAAAAAGCAGCAGCTGGCATATAAGTCAACTAGAATAATAATTTATTTACTTAAAAATAGTTCCCATTCTTTGTGAATCTATTCTAGCTGTATTTTAATATGGTCAAATAAAGATGCTGCTATGATGTGTCTATAATATGGGCATGTGCTCACATGTGGTAAACAGACAAGAACAAAATCACCTACCTGCAGACTTGGGCATGCAGGACCCAGTGTAGGCAACACCACTCTGCTGAGGGACACCAGATCAGGAGGAACTTGTCTCCTAACTGAACACAGTGACCGTGGGGCAAACACACACACAGCCCACATCTCTCTTTCACCCCAAGCAAATGCCCATGAGCGAGAACTGCACTTCACACACCTGTCTTGGTAAAAGTATAGAATCCAGCCTCCCAAACATGAAGAAGCTACATGGATATTCTACACCAAGAAGATGAACAAAGATGGAGAGCCTAGGGTATCAAGGAGGTGTTTGAGAGAGATACCAACATGTCTCTAGGAGCCCCTGGGCACCCTCTGACCTGGGACCTCTTTCCTCCTCCCCTGCATGCCCAACAGCCATTAGCACGAACCACACCCGAGCCACCTGGCTGGGCACATGTCCTGTCAAGGTAATGCTATATCTACTGCAGGCTTTTTTATATTTATGAGGAATTTGTGGTGTTAAACATTAGTAGCATTTTTGTTGGTTCATTATTTAAAAGTTTAATTGTATTACTCCTTAGGTTTTGAGCTTTTTGCCCAAACTGTCTTTCTCTAGGACCTGTTATTTTTCCTTTAGGAACTTCCACACTCAGTAGTGTTCAGGTGCACACACATCACATCACAGGAGAAAAGGCTGTGCTGTCACATCACAGAGACAAAAACAGGGTAAGACCAAGTACCTGATCTGAGATACCAGTGCTGGCAAGTTGCTCTGGAGAAGTGGCTCCGAAAAGACCAGATTTTCAAACAGGTGTTTATTATGCAATTCCCAAGTCACCTGGAACTTTTTCAAGTGTTCATTTTCCTAGTTTAAAACAGAGAGACAGAAAATTAGAAGACATAGTGAATTGATGGGCCGGGCGTGGTGGCTCACGCCTGTAATCCTAGCACTCTGGGAGGCCGAGGTGGGCATATTGCTCAAGGTCAGGAGTTCAAAACCAGCCTGAGCAAGAGTGAGACCTCGTCTCTACTATAAATAGAAAGAAATTAATTGGCCAACTAATATGTATAGAAAAAATTAGGCGGGCATGGTGGTGCATGCCTGTAGTCCCAGCTACTCGGGAGACTGAGGCAGCAGGACTGCTTGAGCCTAGGAGTTTAGGTTGCTGTGAGCTAGGCTGACGCCATGGCACTCACTTTAGCCTGGGCAACAAAGTGAGACTCTGTCTCAAAAACAAAAAAAAAAGAAAGAAAAGAACAGATGAGCATAGTGAATTGATGAAGACTTGGAAATTCCCAGAAGGATTCCCTCTCCCAGTGCCCATATCCCTCCACATGGGCCCAGAACATTCTACCTATGAAGAGCTGCTGCTCCCTTATGTCCCTAAGCACACACCAAATCAGACCTCTGACTACAATAACATGGGTCTCCACCTAGCCTCGCTTCTAAACAACCCACACACAAAAGAAAAGGGTGGCTGGGGTACACACAGATGAAGAGGGGACAGAGAAAGAAAAAACAATTGCACATATTTGATGGCTATTTTTTACAGTAAGGCTTTCAAAATATGACAGCCCTACATTCCAAACACGTTAAATACATAAAAATCCTTTGATGGCAAAAGACAATAATTTTCTTGCCTATCTTGAGAAGTATCCCAGTCTGACAGACACATATACTGGTGATACCCTGTCAAAGGTAAGGCCTTTTGTTTTCCTAATAAACATAGGCAAACTCATCGATTACTTTAGATGACACCCTAAAAACATTTTGGGAGCGTCTTAGTCATCACAGAGAATGATATCTTCAGAGATGTACCACTACCCCTCAACACAAGATCACTAGGGCTGGTGGCATGACTACCTTTGCTGAATGTACGTTTTATATAAGTCTTGCCACAGCCATGCAGGATGAATCTATGCTTCTCTATGTAAGATACATGGACACTGCTCGTGTTCAGATTATGTTCCATTTGGGGGTAAATGCTCCTTAACTGAACAATTCTGGAAACTACTTATCATTATGTATTAATGTTCCATGTCTCCTGAGAACTGAGTTGCTCTCACTGATTGGATTTAGTGGTCTGCTAATATTTAGTCAAACTGAGTTGATAAATATATTAGCAAATGAACTACACATAAAGATTCCATTACTTTAGTATCTGATAACCCCAGTTGGTACATGGGGCTGAGATAACAAATTATAATGATCAACTTCTGCTCCTGAAAATAAACATTTATAAGATAATGCAAACAGCAGACAGGCAGGGCCCACAGCCAACTGAGGGAGGGTCTAGGGAATGCTTCCCAGGAGAGCCAAGGTCTTGCCTGGTGTTCCCCACAAACCTTTGGAACCTTTGGGCCTCTGCCTGCCAGCCTGTGAGCAACTCTGTTGACTGAGGCTCCATACCTGTAGGGATGGAATCACAGCTCTGGCTTTCTGGGCTCACATTAACTAATGCTAATCGAATAAAGACTGATTTATGAAAACGTTCAGCATTTTTTATAAAATCTGAAATTATACTTCTAAGTAGGGCATGCAAGATAAATAGCAGATTCCAAACTCACTTCACAACCTGAAATCAACTTGGAGTTTACTTAAGTAACAACATATGCTAACACCTGTGTGCTTATCATAGCCATGCACTGTTCTTAGCACTGAACTCATTAATGTCTCTAGTTTCCTGTGACCTTGGTGCTGTCCTGCCTGTGCCCTCATTTACAGGCACAGAAACGCACAGAGAGGCTGGGCGAGGTGGCTCACGCCTGTAATCCTAGCTCTCTGGGAGGCCGAGGCGGGTGGATTGCTCGAGGTCGGGAGTTTGAAACCAGCCTGAGCAAGAGCGAGATCCCGTCTCTACTATAAATAGAAAGAAACTAATTGGCCAACTAATATATATAGAAAAAATTAGCCGGGCATGGTGGCTCATGCCTGTAGTCCCAGCTACTTGGGAGGCTGAGACAGAAGGATCGCTTGAGCCCAGGAGTTTGAGGTTGCTGTGAGCTAGGCTGACGCCATGGCACTCACTCTAGCCTAGGCAACAAAGCGAGACTCTGTCTCAAAAAAAAAAAAAAAAAAAAAGAAACGCACAGAGGAGCTTGCATAACTGGACCAGAGAGAGCATGCAGGAGGTGAGGTCTGTGAGACATGCTTGTCACAGTTCCTACCAGAGGGAAGGCCTATGGGAGGACTGCTCAGCTGGAGGCAGAAAAGAAAGAGATGCAAGTGTGGCTTTGCCATGCAAATTGTGAACACATCCCACTTTCTACAGCAAAAAGGTTAGGGGGACTGAAAGAAGAAAGAGAAGGTATTTAAATAAAGTTCTACAATAGACAGTGAGAAGTAACAGGATTTTCAAGATCATTTTGTCTTTATGGATGGAAATTCAGATTTCAGTATTACAGCCTGATGAGGCATTTCTCAGATAACTGTAAGAATAACTGAAGTCTAGTACCAATTTTATTTTGACATTTTAAATAAAAGAAAAATGTGACCCATTATCCTGTCTGGTCCCCCAAGTAGTGTGGAATAAACCTCACAAGTGCATTTTCCAGGGAAGTCACATTTTTTAGAACACCTTTCTATGTCCAAGTTGTATTCAGTGGGTTCAGCAAAAACACCAGAACAACGGTGCTGTTCAGAGGAGATAATGGAGTCAGCACAGAGTTAGCTGGCAGAGTTTGCACAGCACATTAACCTGCTGCTTCAAGGAAAATAAGTGACACTAATTTGTGGCTAATTGTGAAATCTGAGCTTTTAAGCAAAAATCAGAACTTCGGGAAATGTGTATCTGCCACCATGAGCTTTCAGCTTCTTCATATTTAAAGATCTTTCTGATGAGATCAGTGGTAATATTAATAAATGCCATTTTTATATGGAATAAAATGCTGTCAACATTAGGAAGATCTGCATAAGTGAACCAGCCTCTGCCAAATTACTTATGTATGATGTAAGAAACCATGCATGAGTAAAAGATCCAAAGTGTGATCTACACCAATGAATTTTAATGAAACAGTTCAGTGATTTGGTTTCAGATTCTATGTCACAACCAACCATTAAGAAACTCTCAAGCTTTGGTGGATCCTTAAAGAAGAATATCCATGATGATCTGAAAGGCTATTAAAATATCCTTTCTCTTCCAACTATATATCTGTATAAGGCCCAATTTTCTTCAATAACTTCAAGCAAAAGAACCTAGGACAACAGACTGAACACAGAAGCTGACCAAGAATCCAACTGCCAGACATTATAGGGATTTATAAAAATGTACACGATGCCACTCTTCTTACTAAATATGTTTTGTTTTGAAACAGTTATTTTTATCTAAAAATATGTTATTTGTTATATTATCCAATACATGCTAAAATGACATTTATGCTATCTAATGACTTTATATTTTTTAAATGACAAACATTTTTAAATTTCTCAGTTTGAATTTTAATACAGTAAATACTGATATAATTCATATAAACAAAAATTCTTTGGGGTCCTCAATTTTTAAGTATAAAGGGACGTGAATCTAAAAATTTTGAGAGCTACTGCTCTGAGACAGTCAAGTTTATCTTAACCCATCTCTGTAAATTCTATACACTGCATAGATCATTGGGTGGCAGTATAATAATGTCTTAAATTTGTGAAGCTTATTGGGTCCTGATTTGAACCCCCCAACCATAAAAAGAGACTTTTTAGATAACTGGAGAATTCTCATATGGGCTAGTATTAGTCAATAATAATAAATTACTGTCAGTTTTCATGGGTGTGACAATGGTACTGTGGCTACATAAGATAATGTATGTCTATTTTTGGAGATGCGTATTTGGAATATTCTAAGACAAAAAGGCATATCTGGAACTTGCATTAAGATTCTGATCAGGCCGGGCGCGGTGGCTCATGCCTGTAATCCTAGCACTCTGGGAGGCTGAGGCAGGCGGATTGCTCCAGGTCAGGAGTTCGAAACCAGCCTGAGCAACAGTGAGACTCCATCTCTACTATAAATAGAAAGAAATTAATTGGCCAACTAATATATAAAGAAAAAAATCAGCCAGGCATGGTGGCGCATGCCTGTAGTCCCAGCTACTTGGGAGGCTGAGGCAGGAGGATCGCTTGAGCCCAGGAGTTTGAGGTTGCTGTGAGCTAGACTGACTTCACAGCACTCACTCTAGCTTGGGCAACAAAGTGAGACACTGTCTCAAAAAAAAACAAAAAACAAACAAACAAACAAACAAAAAAAAAACAAAACAAGAAAAGAAAAAGATTCTGATTGAAGAGAGAGTAGAAGGGAAAGAAGGGTAGAAAAGACAGCATAATGAAGTCAGTGGCAAACATGCCCTTAACTGTGAATCTGGTTAAGGGGTTTCCATTGTTAGTCTCAGCTTTGAATCCAATATTATACAATTAGAACACCTTACAGACAATCTTAAATTCCTGTTTTGAGATCACTTTTTCTTTGATGTTCTATAGTTGTCAGCATGCTGTATCCAGGTAAGGACTTTAAAATATATCTTATTTGGGAAATGTGATAGGCTTCCTTAACTGAACACTGACATCTTTCAACAATTCTGGAAAATTTTCAGCCAATCATCTTCATCCTCATTCTACTTCTCCCCTGGAAATATGCTTAGTGATAGTTAGACTTTCCCGCTGTACCCTTCACGTCCCTCAAACTCTCTCATGTGCCCCCCATTTGTCTCTTTGAGCTATATTCTGCAGGATCACTTTACTTTTTCCAATTCACCAATTCTCTTTCAGTTGTCTATTGTGTTTAATCTATTCATTAAACTTTTTTATTTAATTACATTAGTTTTATTTCTGATTTCGTTTGGTTTCTTTCGAATCTGAACAACGATTTCTTAAAGTCTTCGTCTTTAACTCATAATTTCAACCCTTTTTTAATTTCTTTAAACACAAATATAGTTTACATCCTTTGTACAAAAATTTAAAATATCTTTGGTATGTGATTCTGTCTGTTGCTTCTGCTGGCTCTCAATTGTACTGTTGTGAATCTTAACAATTATTTTTTTTAACTGTGAGCTGCTCATATTTGTGGATTTTTGCCTATGCAAATTTTTTGAGATCAAACTGAAGGACAAGCCTTCCAGGGGTGAACTGCATGTTGCCTGACTTTATGAGCAACCTTGGACCACTGTGAAGTAACCTGCAGGCTCGAGTTATTTCACACCACACCAACAGCATTTGTTCAGAATGCAACCCTAAGCAGCAGTTGGCTTACAGTTACAAAATCTCTGGGAGTCTGTGCTTCCCTGGCATACCAACACATAGTCACCATAGTCACAACTGGTGTATATTCTTGCTGTCCCTTCCTGTGTTTTTGAGTTTCTCCTTCACCCTTACACTGAGGACGTAAACATTTGTGGTCCCGTCCACATATTTGCCAACCCTATCCTCGGCTACACTGAGGCCGTTATCTCCTCTCTTCCAGAATCAGAAGAAATCCTTAGCGTAAATATTAGCTTTAAGTACATGTATCTCAGGATTCCAGCTTTCAACTGTTTTCACCACTAGAAATTATTCCATTTCATGCCATCACAGTTGTATGTTTTAAAATATTTTATTTTATGTTATCTAGTAAATTTAGTTGTTCCCCTTGGAGGAATATGTTCAAAGTAATCTAGCCTGCCACACCCACTAGAAATAAAAGTGAATATTTCTATGTGTAAAGAAAGTAAAATAAGATATTGATCAAATAGAGTTTAGAGTTTATGGGATTTTTCAAACCACAAGAAAGTATTTCTGCTAGAAATTTGTTATAATAAACATGGCTCAAATTAATTTGTTAGCTTCATAAAACAGTGTTCTACCTGAGGGGGGCCTGGGCTTTGGCAGCACTTTCTCTCTTCACTGCCAGAGTCTCTGTGCATCAGGTTCAGGCAGGCAGGAGAGTGTCTTTATTAGCCTGTGCCAATGTTCTCTCAGGAGACAGGGGAAGGTTCAGGATGCTTTCACAGAGGCAGCAGCTCTGGATTTGGACCTCTGAAGAACAGCTAGATTTTCACAAGGCAGAGGTGGGAGAGCCAGTGGTGCGAGAGATGCCAGAAGAAGGAAAAGCACCAGAGGAAAGCTTGGCTGTTGGGTGGATTTAGGTCTTCAAGTGGGGTAACTGCCACACACACTCCCTTGCCTAGCTGCCTCTTTTTTTTTCCAGCATATTATGGGGGTACAAATGTTAATGTTATGTATATTGGCCTAGCTGCCTCTTTTCATAATGGATGCCTCCCTGGAGCTTGGTGCAGGGAAGCTTGGGGAAGTCTGCGAACCCAATGAGATGACTTACAAAATTATATGTATAAGCTTTTCCAAGAGGGTACATCAACTTTAGAATCAGATAAAAACCATTACACTTAAAATCTTAGGAACCACTGGTTACTATATTTGTTTCAAAATGCAATTTTACCACTATAAAAGCACCCAAAACTAGCCCAATTAAGTATCATTTAATAATAAAATTTAAGTGACGATGAAAAACTCCACAGACTATTAGTAAAAATGGATAGGTCTGTAACAGTCAAAGAAGCCTTTAATGGCTTGTCTTTGGGCAGCACAGTCTCCTTCTACCTACGTGCACTCACCAGTAACCAGATGTCTACTCCATTTCTACTCCATGCAGCCTTCCACCCACTGTGGTGATTTACCTTTTCAGGTGGTCAGACCCACCTGTGCATCCCCTGTGGTAGGACTGCAAGACCCCTGCAGGTGGGGAGAGGGATGTAGCGGAACTCCAGTCCGTGAGCCTATCCTTAGCCTGTGCTGGGATGGTGAGTGAACGCATTCATGAACAAATGAAGGCATGAAGGGCCATGAGTAGGCTGCTCCCTAGTTTCCACGCTCTTCTTTCCTACGCATCTCATCAAATACCAGCTGCCTAAAGTAACATCAGAATTAACATCTTAAGACACCAGAGATTTCTCTTCCGTCTCCCTATTAATGCATACACTGTCCTCACCTCAACCATCCCTGTGCCGTGCTCCCTAGGCCTCAAGTCCCCCAAACAGTTTCCCTGAGGTGTCACCAGGTATCAATCCACTCAATGCTTTTATTCACCAGCAAAGTCCAAAGGAAAGAGAAAGCGGAGAGGAACAGGTTCTCTCCCACAACCCTGTACCCAACCTCACAGAGGAGGGGCTCCGTGTTGGCACCTTGGGGTGGGACAGTGAAGTCGGTGCACAAGCCTCAGAAGCTCTGTCCTACTGCGTGTTTCTTCTCTTTAGCTCATCAATAACAAAAAGAAAACAACAGGTTGTCTCTCTTACCAGAGTACCAAGGAAGGTGCTGATGGAGCGTGCCGCCTGGCAGAGGGCACCATATTCCTCAAGCAGGAGGGAGATGAACTGGTGTGCCTGTGGTGGGCCTTGCAGGCCAGACGGTGCCTTCACCTTTGCTGCAGCTGACAGCTGTCGGAGCAGGCGGACCTTCATCTCCAGCACATACTCTCGGGCTTGCTGCTCCAGTCGCTGGTACAGCTGGTAGGGGTCCCTCTCACAGAGCCTGCACAGAGAAACAGAGTCACCACTCACCCATGGCCCACACACGTGGGTTCCAGGGCTAATAGTTTTTTATGTCAGCAGGTATCTTTTCTGAAGTCTTTCCATAGGCGACCACCTCTCAGTGACAACCACCATCACCTTTCTCACAAGGACCTGTGAGAGGCAAGATCACCCTACCTTACAGATGGGTTACTGGGGCACAGAGAGCATCACCAGTGAACTAAGAAGAAAACAGACACTGAGCACTTTTTCTCTGTGTGGCACCAGGCTCGCTGCACGTGGTTTCAGCTGGCTGGGTAAGTTGTTTAAACTCATGTAGCCAGCTAGTGGCAGAGGGTATGGTCCAGATCCATACTCTCAACCACATACTACGTACAGATGAGACTGAAGATAATTGTCTGTGACGTCTCACATATAAACAGTTGACAAGCACTAATCCCAACAGAAGTAACACCTGGCTGGAAGACTGAGGTAAATTGCCCTCTCCTTTCTAGGAACTCAGCATACAATCCACATGGGCTTGTATTATTTTTATAAACAAAAGAAACTTTATACAGTTTATCCTATTTTTAAATTAGCCCATAAAAAGGCAATAAAAGTATATAAAATAAAATCTGTAAGCTGAAGAGCAGTAAAAAAATTAATACATGCCTCCCCACTTGACCACAGTTGCAATGAACATTTTCCCTTTCTAAACTTGATAGTGTGCTTTTTTGATACAAATGTTTGTATGATAATCCACTTTTTAAAACATGTTCCATGGTATTTAGCATTATTATGGTTAAATTTGAAACTTCTTTTAATTGTGCACTTCTAAGAAGCCTCTAGGTGGAAACCTAGGACCACTGATACGATAACCAAAACATAACATCAGGAGGAACTACTTCGAGTTCAGCACTCTATTAAACTAAGTTGTAAAATATATTGAGATGCAGCTCTTGGATTTTACATAATACATCCTTTCACCTTCTGGGAGCCACACTAGGCTAAAAGCAAAGAAAGTATGGAGTTACCTGCTTTATTTTTCAATACCATACCACCTAGGTTGCAAAAAACAAGAGCCTTCTTTGAGCAGGACAAGTTAAAGACAAGACAAGAGACAAGTAAAATCTTGCAATGGAACATGTGAAGCCTTATACATATCACGTGGTTAAAAAATGGTGTAAATTGATGAGGTTCCATTAGTACATTTCTGATATATTCATTGTTTAAACATGACAATTATAGTTTTAATTACTAGTACAATAAACTATCCTCTGAAACAGAATGTATTTCATCTGTTAAAAGAAAGCCACAAGGCCAGGCGTGGTGGCTCACGCCTGTAATCCTATTACTCTAGGAGGCTGAGGTGGGAGGATCGCTCAAGGTCAGGAGTTCAAAACCAGCCTGAGCAAGAGTGAGACCCTGTCTCTACTAAAAATAGAAAGAAATTAATTGACCAACTAAAAAAATATATAGAAAAAATTAGCCAGGCATGGTGGCACATGCCTGTAGTCCTAGCTACTCAGGAGGCTGAGACAGGAGGACTGCTTGAGCCCAGGAGTTTGAGGTTGCTGTGAGCTAGGCTGATGCCACAGCACTCTAGCCCAGGCAACAGAGTGAGACTCTGTCTCAAAAAAAGAAAGAAGACTCAAATTCTGACACAGGGACAACTAAACTTACAAATAGGTTGGACACCTTCTTCTTAGTTCTCTTAGCATGGTGGAATTAGATGCCTTTTATTTCTTTGCCCATTTCAGTATTTTATAAGTGTAAGGAAATAACTGTGTGGTATTTTCACAAACAGATTTTTTTAAAAGTTATATGACAAGGAGGCAGGAATATGTTGAAGATGTTGTGGATGTTCATTCACTCATTCATCAATTCACATTTACATTCAATAAATACTGGTGCATTAACTGTATGGATCCTATTCTGAGGTATTGAAGATGTAGTAATAATCAGAAGTTATGGCTTTAATGTGAAGGTTATGTATTTTTTCCTAATACTCACTAGGAAACCTAACTTCTTAAATAGGCACATACTGTCCAGAACCACCTCATGAAACACCAATTGTTCACAGGTCAAACCCTGAACACACTGGCTGAATTTATTAGTTAATATAACTCATGGCTAATCACTATCTCTGCCACCAGGATAATATCTGCTAGATAGCCAATATAGGTTTATAAATTCCCAAAGGTGCTGCATTCAAAATGCCAGACAGATGAAACCAAACAAGAATCAACTCATGAAATGTCCAGCTTAAAAATGTTGCTTTTATTTGGAACATTTCAAAAAACAAAAAAAGACATTACACTCAGACTATAAGCAAGAATAAAAATTACCGCCACCTCAGGTTCTGTGTTGTTACTGGGCACAAGGTACTAGATAAAGAACAGATGCTTGTTGAGAGCACAGCTGCACAGGCAGGCCTGCCTCCAGCTCCTCTCCACCTCAGGCACTACAGGTGCATATGCAAGCTGCCTGACCCCATGGAGACTCTCATAAGTGGGGTAACTCTGCCTTTCCCCTGGGGTTGATAAAGGCAAGAGTGCTTGTGAAAGTACTTAGCAGCATGCCTGGCACAACAGGTAGGTATTACTGTCGGTCTTAACACATAGAAATGATGAAAATATTTCATTTTTTTTTATTACATATGCAGTATTTCATTAAAAATCACAGTAATTTGAATCTTTTTACCTAGAAAGTTCACATTTGCCAGTTTGCCTGCTGCAGGCATGAACTGCACCTAAGGCTGAGCAGGTCCTATGAGGAGAGCCAGCCTAAGCGGAGTGCTGCAAGGGCAGCAGGAGAGGGTGGGGGTTTGGACAGAAGGGGTGATGTGTACCTATCCACGAGCTCCTTCACTCCCTCCTTGTCAGGGACCAGAGACTGGTCCTGGTCATCTGCCAGTGGGGTCCCTGCCTGGCGATATATGCAGCGAACCATGTAACGCACTTCTGACCAGTAGTTCTGCAGCTGCTGAGGTTCCCGGTCTGACTCTGCAGAAATTTCTCTGTAAAATAACACAGGAATTAGGAGAGTTAGACAAGTTACCACAATCTGCTTCACTTGCTCACACTGGCAGACTACCTGAGGGGGTAAAGACTGTCCTCAAAGCAGGGAATACAGAAAACAGCCAGCATCTCCCGGCTTCTTCTACCTTGCCCACCTCCTAGGAGCTGGCTCCCTGTCACTATCGCTACGGGGCAGCACTGACAGCACCCCCAGCATCACTCCCAGGGTGCCTTCTGCTGTCTGGTCCCTAAGACCTTCGTGTCCTTGCATGACAGGAGCTGACAGAAGCGTCTTCAGCTGCCGTCCACAGTCAGGAACACTGACGTCCACTCTGCCTACCTGACTGTCACTGTCCAGGTGCCCATCAGGCAGCTCTTGCTGCCCATGGAACCTGTGCCTCTCCACCCACAGGTTCCCATTTTGCTCCACAGGATTCCTTCCCACAGTGGAGAACGGAGCTGGTTTATATCTGGTCCTGGACTCTCTTTCCCTCAGTCACCTAGCAGCTGCTCATCACCAGCCTCTCCCTCTCATTTACTACTGCTGATCTTAGATTCTAGTTATTTATGCACATCTCCTCTCCCTTTCTGAGGACTAGCTTCCTAGTGTAAGCTCCTCAAGACCAGGAATTTTTGTCTTATTCATCTAGTTCTTTCTCACAATAGCCATGCTACTGTCTCACTCTGAGGAGTGGCTCAAATGTTAGTTGCTATTTGTTACAATAGCCCAGTTTCCTGGTCCAGCTTCGACATGCACCTGTATGTCACTGTGGACAGGCATGAGTGGTGTGGCACACACCTGCGCTCACTGCAGGCCTCGCATGAGCACGCCGTGTCCGGGGGAAGCGTCTGTGTGCCCAGAGCTAGCCTCCCACCACTGCTGGCCTCCGGCTGAGAGCTACCAAGCGGGGAGTGAAGAAGGAAGTCTTGGCCCTGCTTTAAAAAGAGAACATAATAAAACAGTTATGTTCAAATGTTCATGGTATCAATTTTTTATTAACTATTCAGAAAAATGCCTTTTAGAAAAAATTTAAAACCCAGACATTGAAAAGAAAATATCTTAACCAACATTATATAGAAAACCTTTTCTCTCTGAAATTCAAGAATTTTGTTTGGAATCAATGACTTTCTACTTTCTGAGAGTTTACATCATAATCACAAGAGGACATTCAATGCATTTCTTTTCCTTTAAAAAAGAAGAATTCGGCCAGCCATGGTGGCTCATGCCTGTAATCCTACCAATCTGGGAGGCTGAGGCAGGCGGATCATTTGAGCTCTGGAGTTCAAGACCAGCCTGAGGAAGAGTGAGGCCCTGTCTCTACTTAAAAAAAAAAAAAAAAAAAAAGAAAACAATTAACTGGACAACTAAAAATATATATATAGAAAAAATTATCTGGGCATGGTGGCGCATGCCTGTAGTCCCAGCTTCTCACGAGGCTGAGGCAGGAGGATTGCTTGAGCCCAGGAGTTCGAGGTTGCTGTAAGCTAGGCTGACGCCACGGCAGTATAGCCCAGGCAACAGAGTAATAGAGTAAGACTCTGTCTCAAAAAAAAAAAAAAGAATTCTACTCCCAGTGTCCTAATCAGCACTTGAGATGACCATCCCAGTGGGCACCTCTGGGAAGTGATATTCCCATAGGGGCTTGAGAAAGTGGAAACCTGGCGGCCACCCTGAACCCTGCATCAAGCAGCCGAGAGCAGAGGCCTCTGTCCAGGGGGATCCCATAACCTGCACCGCCTGCTCTAAGGAACAGGAGGCATAAGAGAACACTCTGGACAAAGATGACTGGATAAAGCAAGATCAGATCTTCTTACTGCACCCACACCCAACAGTATCAAAAGGACTTCACCAACAATCACTACAGAGAACATAAAGATAACCTTAGGCACCCCACCCCCACTCCTTCCCTCCCTCAGTAACTCACCCAACCGACAGTGTGGTCCTAGACACAGGCTCTGAAAAGGACTCTGCTTTGTGGGAATGTAAGCTCAGGTCTCAGAACAGAGGCCACCCACAGGGTGCTAAAGAACCTCCCCCCAGGCTGGGTGTGGTGGCTCAAACCTGTAATCCTAGCACTCTGGGAGGCAGGGGGCGGGGTGGATTGCTAGAGGTCAGGAGTTCAAAAGCAGCCTGAGTGAGAGACACCCCTCCCTCTCTACTGAAAATAGAAAGAAATTAATTGACCAACTAAAAATATACAAACAAAAAATTAGCCGGGCATGGTGGTGCATGCCTGTAGCCCCAGCTACTCAGGAGGCTGAGGCAGGAGGATTGCTTGAGCCCAGGAGTTTGAAGTTGCTGTGAGCTAGGCTGATGCCACAGCACTCACTCTAGCCTGGGCAACAAAGTGAGACTGTCTCAAAAAAAAAAAAAGAACCTTCCCCCAGAGCTCACAGCAGAGGCCCCCACCTCCATCATCATCACCCCAGCAGCCTCAGAAGAGGAGCATAGTCACAGAAGGGGCTTCTCAGAGACAATTCACCTGAGTCTAGAGAACTGCACTGCACCCTCTCCTGCCCACCCCCCCAGGGGAAGGGCGCTCCCATCACCTTGACCCAGTCAGGCAGGAAGCCAGTGCTGGGCTTGGTCAAATTTGTTCAGACACTTCACCATCCTAGTGTGCTGTGGACTAACAGCAAGAAAACTCTTCTAAGGCCCTGACACGAGTCCCATGGAGTTTGGGTACATGGACACCAACATCAGACTCTGAAGTGGGAAAGCCTGAGAGTCCATCCCAAGGACGGAGAAAGGCAGCAGGGGAGCTGGCACTTGGGTCATCATGAAAGAACCCCACCAACACATGTCTTGCTGGGTGAGCAGACCCCCAAAGGGCTGAGGGGAGGCTGGCTGGGTGTGACAGTCTCCACTAAACAGTTCAGTACAAAGTCCCCACGGAGGCCTCAGAAGTACCCAAAGAAGGTCTGAATGTCCTATTATGTTCTGAATGTTTGTGTCACCACATCCTGCAAATTCATACGTTGAACTGCTCACCCACAAGGTGATGTAGCATGTGGGGCTTCTGGGAGGTGATGAAGTCATGAGGGTGGACCCTCATGAACAAGATTCATACCCTTTTATCAAGTAGGCCCCAGAGAGCTGCTGTGCCCTTACATCACATGAGGACGCAGCGTGAAGGCACCATCTCTGAACCAGAACTTGGGCCCTCCCTCACCAGACATTGCATCTGCGAGCACTTGATCTTGGCCTTTCCAGCCTCCAGACTGTGACAAATTTCTGTTGTTAAATACATCTCCTTTGCCAACAGGCACAATGGCACAATCTTTGGCCTTGTGGGTAGAGGGTGCTACAGGGACACTGAAGAAGAAGGAGTATCCCTCCAGGTTCCTGTGCTTTCTGGTCTTGCTCCTACCCCCAATATAGCGCCCCATCAGTGGTGTGAGAGGGTGGGGGGCGCTGGCTCTGCAGCACTCAGCCAGCCTGCAGTGCCTCAGGGAGCCTCTCCACTACTCAATGGTTCCTCACCACACCTCTCCAAGTCTGTGCCTTCCTTTAGTCCTCTCCCTCAGCTCCACAGCCAGTGCTGCTCCCTAGAGCTGCCGTGATTAGTGATTATACGCTTTAGAGTTCACTTCACAGATCTGGGTACCTGATCTGTTACTTGTTAATTATTCCTTATGTTAAAATGTGCCTGTTCTAGGGCTGGGTGCAGTGGCTCACGCCTGTAATCCTAGAACTCTGGGAGGCCGAGGCAGGAAGATTGCTCAAGGTCAGGAGTTCAAAACCAGCCTGAGAAAGATTGAGACCCCATCTCTACTAAAAATAGAAAGAAATTAATTGGCCACTTAAAAATACATAGAAAAAATTAGCCGGCCATGGTGGCGCATGCCTGTAGTCCCAGCTACTTGGGAGGCTGAGGCAGAAGGATCGCTTGAGTCCAGGAGTTTGAGCTAGGCTGACACCATGGCAGTATAGCCCGGCAATAGAGTGAGACTCTATCTCAAACAAAACAAAACAAAACAAAACATGTCCTGTTCTAATTACTAGTGTGGTGCCCATCTCCTGACTGACTTTCGGTTGACCCATCAACCTAAACACCCCAGTTAATCCCTTCTATCACAAACTCTTATATGATATCCTAGAGTTCTACCTGTTTTCTTGTTTTTTATCTGTCTTCAACTTTGGAATGTCAGTTCCACAGATCAGGAACCTTTCTACTTGCTCACCACGGTACACCAGTACCTATGACAACGGCTGGCACATAGTACACTCAGAACAACAACCAAGAACTTTAAAGTAACATTTCCTGGTGAGAAGAGATGAAACTGGCTGAGCGTGTTGGCTTACACCTGTAATCCTAGCAAAAGTGCTGAGGCAAGAGGATTATTTGAGGTCAGGAGTTTGAGACCAGCGTTGGCAACAGGGAGACTTTGTCTATATAAAAAATAATTTTTAAAAAATTAGCTGGGTGTGGTGGTGCATGCCTGTAGTCCCAGCTACTTGGGAGGCTGAGGAAGGAGGATCACTTGAGTCCAGCAGTTAGAAGCCATAGTGAGCTATGATGACGCCACTGCATTCCAGCTAGGTTGACAGAGCAAGTGAGACCCTGTCTCAGGGAAAAAAAAAGAGAGACAGAGAGATATGAAAGTCTTTTAAAATAGGGTATATGATGACTATATATTAAATCCTTAGATGTGTTCCTTATAGTACTCATAGTATAAAGATTTAACCTCAGCCATGATGTTTGGTCCAAGTTCAACACAACTTAAAGAATACAACAAAATTCAGCACCCACCAATATAAAATTCACCATGTCTGGCATCCAATAATAAAACCAAAGCCCAAAAATATTACCCATAACAAGCAGGAAAAACTGATTAATGGAAACAGACTCCAAAATGACAGAGATGATACAACTAACAATCAAGAATCTGAAACTGGTAATCATAAATAAAACCCATATGTTGAAGAAAGTAGAAGAAAACACACACAGTGAGGAAAGTAACTGAAGATGTTAAAAAAAATAAGCAAATGGACGGTCCAGAGATGAAAAATAAAACATCATAAAGGAAAAATACACTAGGATAGTCTTAAGAGCAGATTAGACCAGAATATCAATAAACTTGAAGATAAGCAACAAAAATAATCCAAAATGAAGCATCCAGAGAAATAAGACAGAAAAACTGAACAAAGTATTAGTAAGACAAAATCAAAATGTCTAATATATGGGTCATGGCATCCTAGAAAAAGAGGGGCTATATGAAAAAATAGTTGAAATCTTTCCAAATTTGATAAAACTATAAACTCATGTATCTGAGAAGTTCCATTAAAACCAAGCATAATAAACACAAACCTGACCAAAGCATATCATAGTCAAATTGCTGAAAACTAGTGATAAAGTATAAATACTACAGGCAGGCAAAGCAGAAAAAAAATAGGTTCTTAAGTATGAAATGTCAGATTTCCATAAGTATTGTTTGACAGTTGATTTCTCCAACGTTTTAGGTTGATATTTCTTATTTTATTTTTCTCGTGAAGGTACATTCCTCATTCTTTCAAACACAGTTTGGCTTGTGATTATCTGCCAAAAAAATTTTAGAGCAATTTTTGTGAAATCATGAATAAGTCAAAAATTCATGTTATTTTTGAATATGAGTTCCGCTGTGGAACCAATACAGCACAGACAGCTCAAAATATCAACAAAGTGTTTGGGAAGAATGTAGATAATGAACACACAGTATATCAATGGTTCAAGAAGTTTCCATTCTAGTGATTTCAGTCTTGAAAATGAGCCACGTGGGAGACCTGTCACCAATATGGATAATGATGAGCTCTAGTGGAAGCAAATCCATCTCAACCCATGCATGAATCAAGAGTAAGGTTGATGTTACTATTCCAACAATAATGGACCATTTGAAACAAATTGGCAAGGTGAAGAAGCTGGATAGATAGGTTCCACGTGAATTAAGCAAGTGTC